CAGAATTCTAATTTGTGTACACCTTTATCAAGATAGACTCTCAACAAGTATTGGCTACTTGAGATTGTAAATTTTGGTGGCTTGTATTTGCATGTCATAGCAAGTTCCATCACTTAAACTCTTAAAAAATAGTATAGCAACTCAATGTTTCGTAGGTTGAGTAGATAAAAGAAAAGAGCAACAAAAGTCCACAGACCGCCTAATTGCACACTAAGGGCAGAGACATTCTCTGCAGTGGCGTAGTTTGAGCTCTCACCCCAGGCCCCCCGTTTGTGGGCAGGAAATAACCTCCTACGGTTGTAGGACTTTCTAAAATAACTTTGGTATAGTTTATTCTTGTGAACCTTCCTCTTTATCTTTTGCTTTGTTTTCGTTGTATCCGTGTAGCCCTTCAGAAAGTGTTCCCTTACCTTGAACTAAGTTGTGGAGACAGTAACTTTTAGATATTCAATACTTTTATTGCTTTGTTATTTTCATATTTACCTACTCGCAAGTTTTCTTTTGAAAGCATTTTTTGGTTGCCGTTGTATTGAGCTCATGAAGAAGTTATAGAAATGCCTTTTTAATCACAATCTGAAGTCTGTTATTTCTGCTTAAAATAGAAGTCTTCATTCTGTTTCACATTTTTTCCTCCAAACCTGAAATTTCTAAAATGGGTTCTTATTTGTATCTTAAATATCTATTCAGGCTACAATTGGCATTGATTTTCTGTCTAAGACAATGTATCTTGAAGATCGAACTGTTCGACTGCAGCTCTGGTAAGTGGTTTTAACTGAGAGAAGGGGGAAAAACCCTGCACATGTGTGCAATTGTATGAAATTAGTATGGTTCTGTTGCTTTGTCATTCTTGCTCTGCTAATGTAATAAATTCCTGGTAATAATTGTTCACGTACTAAGGAAGGGTGGTGAAGCTTTGAGATAACACTTTTCATCTTAGTTTCATACTAATTTTCATGATTTGCATGTCAAATTTTGGTTGGTGCGTAGTGTGGTTGTCTGCAATTTCTGGATTGTGCTAAGGATATTGGAAAAATTTCATTGTCAACTCAAAAAGGGTCAGCAATTTTGGTGCAAGCTTGTGTGTGTGTGTGTGCGTGTGTTTTGGGGGGGGGGAATTGTTGCATAGTTGTAATTTTAATGTTATACTGCATAGTAATTAAATACAATTTGAAACTCACTTGCTTAAGGTTAGAGAAATTCATCTTGAGCTATGTGCTGTTTGAAAGTAAGACTAGTGGAATGACTTTTTTTATTTCCCCAACATTTACTGAATTGCTAATTGAAGGGTTATCTCTTCTTGTATGTTTGTGTAGGGATACTGCTGGACAAGAGAGATTTAGGAGTCTCATTCCAAGCTATATTAGGGACTCTTCAGTTGCTGTGATTGTGTTTGATGTTGCAAGTATGCCTTTTCTTTTGTTTTACTTTTTAGCTGTCTGAGCTTAATACATTGCTGTGTGTTAGATTTTAGCACAGAAGGGTTGATTATAGAGATTTGGAGCTGCTTTTTCTTTATTGGTTGCCTGATGTCAAATCAAATATTATGGGAAAATAATTTTACCAAGCACATGGGTTATTCATTCACTTTACTTTTAATCCAAACCGCCTATGTCAAATTGTTTTTGGCAGATATGTATACTGTTGTTGCATTGTGTCATGTTATCTAACTGTTTTGGCTGTTTTGGGGGTTTAGGCAGACAGTCCTTCCTGAACACTTCAAAGTGGATTGAGGAGGTTCGCACTGAGAGAGGCAGCGATGTCATCATTGTCCTTGTTGGTAATAAAACTGACCTTGTGGATAAGAGGTAAGTATCATTTCAAAATTTTACACTTATCCCCCCTCTCTCTCTCTCTCTCTTGAGTTATGGACAAAACAATGGTCCAATTGTGGAATTTTTTTTAGAATCTGCCATGGAAGTTTAATTTGGAGCGGCTTGACCTTCCCACTAGAATGAGCAAATTTTAAGTGGTTTCTGGCATAAGCATGGTGAATTAATTTAGTCCCATTGTGGTGTATCTCACTTACAATTGCTGCATTTAGGATTTGAAGAGTTCATTACCATGGTCTGATTGCTAAGCAGTCATCAGACATGTAAAAATGAGAGCTCAGTTTTGCATTATCTCATGTAATTTGTACCAAACACTTGGCCATGGATAAGCTATTAATTGAACCATCTGTCATTCTGTTACAAGAATGATACAAGGAGCAGCTTCACTTGACACCAAGAGTTGTGTCTGATGAGCGCAATCTTTATTTATTCAATCGGTTGCAGGGAACTAAAACATTCTTGCATTCTCGCTTCTTCTGATTCGGATCTCAGGCAATGGATTAAGTAATATGATGAGTGATGATTGATTGTTGTGAAGTTTGTGTCTAGCTATGAAATGTTTGAGAGAGCGGAAACTTTGATTCCAACTTAAGTTTGATAGTGATAGCAAGTGATGATATTGCCAAAAACAAGAGAGGGATGAATGATATTATGGTTATGGGTGTAAGAATAGTGTGATAGATCTGTGCTTATGTATCTTATAGGAATCCTCCAAAAAGGAAGCATGGTGTTGCTTTTCAGTAGAATCACAGTTACATATTAATGACTCAACAAGCTTCCAACTTCCACAGTACTTGTGTTAAATTGTTATATTTCTAAACACTATGAAACCTAATATTGTAGAATGTTCTTTTAGAATTTTGTTTTAACCTTTCCCTCTTCTCATGCCTTGTCCTGTTTTTGTGTATGTATCAGGCAAGTTTCAATAGAGGAAGGAGAAGCCAAAGCTCGGGACCTCAATGTTATGTTTATTGAAACCAGTGCCAAGGCTGGTTTCAATATAAAGGTAAGTGCAGAAATGATCTATGGCTTGTGTCAAAGAGTGGACTGCTTTTGTACTTCCTTCTTCTTTTTTTTTTTTTCTTTTCTCAATGGCTTCTTAGGATGAAAGCTGATCTAGTGTACTTTTGGGCATTTTGTCAATGTTAAATTTATTTATGTCATTTGATTTGCAGGCGCTATTTAGAAAAATTGCTGCAGCCTTACCTGGAATGGAGACCCTTTCTTGTGCAAAGCAAGAAGACATGGTTGATGTCAATCTCAAGTCTAGCAACACAAATGCATCTCAGGCCCAACAGCAGTCCGGAGGGTGTGCCTGTTGATGATATTGATTAAAGATAACATCTACTTATCTTCCTCTATATTTTCTTTGAACCCGTGAGGTCTGTAAATTTTTCCCATGTCTTCCAGAGAATTTTACGTTTTTTTTTTTGTGTGGTGGATCATCAGGGAAGTTGAACTCAAACATCAGGTACTCGTCGTTCTAGTTAACTAGTCTATAGTATCTGTAATTTTTCATCTGTATGATTAATGTCGATTTGTAGACTTGTATTCAGATTTTGGCCCGTTGCTGCCAAATTTTGGTTTTGAATAGGTATGGGTTTTCATTTTAAGGGAACTTTGTAATTTGATTTCTTGTTGAGATTATGTCAAAAGATTTAGTATTGGGCACACGCTGTTAGAGGAGTACACCAGCAGGATCCAACTTTTCTTGTTCTTCTTCATTCGTCCACATTTTGGGAGTCCACATATTGGGGGAGAATGGTGGTTTCACGGCACCTACCTCCTACTCTCCTAATCTCCTTAGAGATATCTAGTCAATCCTGTGGGCGGAATTGTGAATATTTCCTGCTCGATATTGCTGACTTAAAGATTATGAGAATCCGGTGCGGGAAGTTCTATTGCATGTTTGCTTGTGCAATCCAATCGGTGAGGTTTCGTTGCATGCTCGCATGGTAACGGTGTGTAAACTTACAGCTATTGATCTAACGATTTCAGGCTTTTGACTGCTCAATGCATTTTAATTAAACTTGACAGGATAAACTTTGAGTAAGCTTACTAAATCATAAATGAAATTGAGTGCCATTTTTCTGATTTGCAAATACTGCAGTATTGCATATATAATTAACTGTAAGCGAGTATCATCCAGTAGAATGTGCAAAGCAATTTAGTGCTACATTCATCCCACTTGGATAGTCCTGTTTTTTTTTATTTATTTATTTCAAATTGTAGTTCACTTTTCAATTGAAGAATGTAGTAGTTTTTTAATTTCTCTAAAATATCTTTTATTTAATGTAAATTATTATTATTATAAATTATTTTATTTAATATAAATTGTTAGTATTAAATATAACATACCCTATTTAATGCATTTAGATTCTTCAAAACATATTGATACTTCCTCCGTCCCACTTTGATAGTCTTGTTTTCCTTTTTCGTCTGTCTCAAATTGTAGTCCACTTTCCCATTAAGAAATGTAATAATTTTTCAAATTATCTAAAATACCCTTATTAAATATCTTGTTATTAATACATTGTTATTAAATACTAACCCACTACATTGAATACATTGAGTTTTTCCAATACTAATCCATTAGTTGTAATTGATATTAATTGGCACTCTTCGTGATTAGCATAAGGGTATTTTAGGAAATTATTAATCTAAATTTATGTTTCCAACCAAATTAATTACACTTTCTTAATCTGTGTGAAAAAAAAAAACCAAGACTAACAAAACGGGACGGAGGAAGTATATGAAAAGATAACTTTATTTAATGTAAAAGTATTTTAAAAATAATAATAATTTAAATTTATTTTTTTAACAAAGTTAACTACTTTTATTAAAATGTGTGAAAAAAAATTAGCCCTATCAAAATTGGACAGTATAAAATAAAAATTGCAGGCTGTCGATTCTAATCAAGATGGATATTGGTAGTTCCAAAATTGATTCGCACTCTCCATCATACGATTCTAAGCACCAGGAGGGATGAAAAGCCGGAACGATTTTGACACTTTTGTCAGGTAGAGTGATTGCCATCACTCATTCAGGAAATTTCAGTCAAACCATTAACCTGTTGGGACTTGGGGGTCCCCGGGAGCAGTCCCTTAATTGCGAGCCCTGGTTTTATTGCAAGAGCACTGTAGTAATTTCGGCTCGTGCGAACGAGATTAGCGATAGAAACAAAACCACGTGTGGGAGACGACACTATCGGTTATTCGTCACCCCGTCTTCTCCTAAAATCTCTGAGCGTATTCGTCAGACCTACACACTTGCATACTTGCATCTCGCTCGCTTGTGGCGGCTTAAATTTTTTTTTTCTCCCTCTGGAGATTTCGGCGCCTTTCCTGGTATTTCACTCTCAAGTTTGTATGTGAATTTCCTTGCCACCATGCCAGGTCCCTCTCTTCTCTGTCATACATGCTCCTTTAATTGTGTTCCTACTTTGCATTTCTTTCTTTTGTTTTTTTTTTTTTGGTAAAAACAGCGGGAAAGGGGATGGATGACAATGGGCTTGTTCGAACGAAGACGTTTAATTAGTAGGCGGCGTTGTATCCGCTCATCAGTGGGATAGCTTTAGATTGAACATATGATCCTCCTTCTTTACATGCTATGGACACCAAAAATTCTCTTTTTTAATTTTGTATGTGTTCTGGTACGATGTTGCAATCTTGATTTTTCTTGTGTTTTACATTGGTTTTGTTTTCTTCCATGAAATTTGTCAGGATAAAGTATTGATCTTGATGGGAAATTTGTCAGGATAAAGAAAAAGTATTGATTTTGATGGAATATAACGAGGGTCTTGTGCCTCAACAAATCTTACTGGTTGATAAATTTTTTGTTGTTGAAATTGGATGAGTTCGTGAGGATTACTTTTGCAAATAATGGAGAAATCAATAAATTGAATGAGCTTGCGTGATTCTTCACACACTTAAAACACTAATTTGGAGTTTCTGCATGAATACATGGCTAATTGCTGAGCTGTTAGCTGAAAGAGTCTATCCAAGCAAAAAATATGAAGGAAAGATAAGTTGGCTGCTGGCAGAAAGAATTTTATAGGTGTCTGGGAACTACCTTTTACTTGACAGGAGTTCCGTTCTGGCCTTTTGTTTAAGATTCATTGGGAAATTTGCAAGATTATTATGGGCCACTTTTGTTGTTGAGTTGATCATGTGCAATATATTGTTTATCAAGATTACTGGTAGGGGACAAAAAGTATTGGTGCATATTGGCTCTTGGATGTATAGCAGATTTGTTAGCTAACTTGTGGATGAACTCTAATATAGGTTATGAGGGTATGAGGGTACTCTACTTTTTCAACAAAGTGTATTATCCTAGCAAATGATGAAGTCACTTTATTAAAGGGAGCAAGCTAAAAGTATAAATAGGCTAGTCAGGTTGATTCAGCAGGTTTAGAGTATTATTCCATATTCACAGACGTGGATGTCCTCTCAATTTACTTAAATAGGACAAAGAATAAGAAATTGAAGAAGTTCATCTTCTGTAGCCGCTGAAAACATGTGGAAAAGGCAGAGAATTACAAGAGTGTAAATAAATAAACAAGATTGGCAAGTAAATATCTGAATTCGTTTCCAATTGTTACATACTCTCAGTTTTGCAACTAGCAGAACTTGTTGCCACCTCTTCGAGGGGATGAATATTTCGGGTTTATAAGCACTTTTTTCTCCTGTTTTTCCTCATCTGGATCAGTTTCCACTTTTCATCTAAAACTTTGCCTTTGTTTTGTGTCATTTTCTCATCTGTTGTGCAACATTGAAATTGGCAAAGGAAGAGACCCCAAATGCTTTAAGAAATTGTGTACATTCAATTTATCCTGATGAAGGAATTCACTGTAAAATAAAATTAGCAGTAGCTTGAATGCTTGATATAGCTACAATTTCACAATGGTTCACTGGAGATTGGTCACGTTACCTGCATTTTTCCCCCTTAGTTATTTAATAGCAATGGTTTTATTTAAATGTTGATGGCAAAATCTGATATTAAAATGTTTTGGCATGTTGTTGTTCACAGTCAATGAGGAACCAATATTGATAAAGGACAGTACTTTGATTGATACGCTGCCATTTTTCCGACTCAAGCGCTGGCAGTGGTGGCTTTTGGTTGCCCTTAACATAGTGTTTCTTCTCGTTGGTCAAGCTGCATCTGTCCTTCTGGGAAGATTTTATTATGACAAGGGTGGAAATAGTACATGGCTGGCCACACTCCTCCAAACAGCTGGTTTCCCGATTCTTTTTATCCCTTACATATTCATTGGCTCCTCGTGGACACCTTCGGATTCAGCCAATCCTTCTCTTATTAGAGTTTGTTTGATCTACTTTGTCCTGGGGGCAATGACAGCTGGGGATAATATGCTCTACTCAGTTGGACTTTTGTACCTCTCTGCCTCTACTTATTCCCTTATTTGTGCTTTGCAGCTGGCTTTCAATGCTGTATTCTCTTTCTTTATCAATCGCCAAAAATTCACCATTATGATTCTTAATTCTGTGATTGTCCTCACGTTATCTGCTTCTCTCCTTGCTGCTAATGGTGACTCTACTGAACCTTCAGGAGTCTCAAAAGGGAAATATCTCATTGGATTCTTAGCTACACTGGCAGCATCTGTTCTGTATTCACTCTTACTTTCTCTTATGCAACTATCGTTCCAGAAAGTCCTAAAGAAGGAAACTTTTTCTGTGGTGCTTGAAATGCAGATTTATACATCTGTGGTGGCCACTTGCATCTCCACTATTGGTCTTTTTGCTAGTGGGGATTGGTCAACATTGCAAGGCGAAATGAACACTTTCAGCACAGGAAAACTTTCCTATGTTATGACTTTGGTATGGACAGCAATTTGTTGGCAAATTTGTGCTGTTGGTGTGATAGGTCTGATATTTTTGGTGTCATCTTTGTTCTCTAATGTTATCAGTACTCTTTCTTTGGCAATCACTCCTATTGCTGCACTCATAGTCTTCCATGACAAGATGAACGGTGTTAAGATAATAGCCATGCTTATGGCACTTTGGGGTTTTGCCTCTTATATTTATCAGAATTACATTGATGACATTAAGACGAGGAAGACCCACACCAATGCTGAAAGGACTACTAATGACTCGTTGTGCTGATAATTTGGAACGGGTGGGATGGGGTTGTGAAGATCGCCTGGAATTTTTGTTTAGAAAGGGTTCATCTTATGCCTGAGACGTTTTCTTAGCGTTGTAGGTTATAATTTTGCTTTCTAAACTTTACCTTAGCTGAGTGGATTTTTTTTTCGTATCACTTGGTAACTGATTGACACGTTACGCAATTCAATTGGATTAGAGTTAAAAGTTTTTTCAGAATCTGTTTGAGGAAGAACGTTCTTTCTGCAGACTTGCAATTTCCAGGAAAAATCATCTATCTAAGTGGGGGATTTAACTTGTTAGGAGCATTTAGCTAGCTCACAAACATGCTATATTTCAGTCAAAATGCTGTTAAATTTCTGTGAGATGAGACGGAAGGAGAAAGAGATATTATTTGCTGGCTGCAAGTTAGCGGGTGCCTGGAGTTGAGGTTTAAAAGGTTTTATCTGAAAGCATGCATTTGAATTTGATTCATGGTGGAGGAGGCTGAGAGAAGCTATGTACTTAATGATGTAATGGAGTTGAAATGACGCAAGTTGTAGCGGAGGCTAGGATCAGTTTTGATAGTCTTACGGGGCTGTAATGGAAGAAGGAAATTAGACTGAAGTTTCTGAATGATATTTTGTGCGGGCAGTAAGAGCCTACGGAAAAAATCTGAGACTTGTATACAACTGCTCTTGGATAGTTGGGTTTTGCTACCTAAGATAGCAGCAAACAAGTTGGAATTTTGTACTTGGTGATGCCCTTTAGTGATAGGAATTGGATGGCGCAATCTGTAGTTTGTTGCTTAAGTACAGCACGGGTTGCAGAAAGAGGGATGTTTGGAAATGGTGGAATGTCTAGTGCCAAGCCATTTTGCTACAATCTGCTGGACAGAGTTGTTGAAGCTCGACACAGTCAAATTGATCTGTGTGGTTAGGCATGCTGTCCTCATTTCTGAAAGTTGAAAACCTCAGTTCAGGTTTCCGGTGTTGCATGCATTAGGGGTAATTAGTAGTGTATGATAATAAACTGACAATTCTTGATGGTCTGCGCAAACAATTACTGTTAACAAGTAATTTATGTGTACGTGATTATATACACCTCAAAAAAAAGTGAATGAATTCGAGCAGAAAGTAGTTAGTACTTTTTTTTAAGTATAGGGCTAGTTTACATGCATTAAATTGAGTGTGTTTTTCTACACCCTTTGACTTTATCATTCTACATTTCAACTGCCAGAGAAAGCCCTGCTCTCATATTAGTTCATTATGAACTGTTGCTGCTGATTTTGCAATCCAAGGGGTAGTGTCAGGTGTTGCTTTGGCCTTCATAAGTTTCTAGAATTAGAGAGACATGTTTGGGAGGTAAAAGAGTTGGAAGGTCAGCATCCAGGGCTTCTTTCTGCCTGTTGTTGAGGGATTTGATATGGAGGAGCATTTGACAACTTGGAAAACCCACATCGAAAACTACAGCTTGTCCGACTCTTTTCTGGTTGGTTGCAACGACAAAATCATGGATGCACTTTGCAGGAAAACCGCAATAAAATCATGCAGTTATGGGTACTACTTTGGGTTTGCCAACCTCCTTTTTCTAGGTGGAGAGGAACAGTCAGGTTCACACCACCCAAAAATCCAGAGATGAAAAGGTGAGAAAGAAGAAAAAGGTGCTCTAGAACTAGTTTGGTAAGAAGGAAAATGACAATGTGCACGAACGTTGGCAATTTGATGGTGCTTGAAACTTTTGTCGCCTCGATCCATCAACTACTTAAACATGAATTGTGGTAAAGAAGAGCTTACACTCAAGGCATTGAATTTAGAGGTTTGAGTAGGATTATTTGGCTTGTAATGTTTGTGCAGCTAAACCAGGAATAATGAAAGATTCTTAAACCGCAGGAATGTTTAACCTCCACCACGCCCCCCCCCCCCTCTGAGTCATCGCTTGGTTGGTGCATGAAATTATTACTAACACATTCCTCCGAGACAGAATAATGCCCATATTGTTGTTGTCATTTGTAGTGATGAGAATTTAAGGAAGGGTTGCCGCAATCTAAGATTGGAGATTGGCATTTAGCATAATTTTCTTTTTCGTTAGAATTTGAAGCCAATGTCTTGTACCATATGTATCTTCGATTACTTAAATGGAATAATTTTGTCAACACGTTTCTTGAACGCAAGTTTACTTGTGAAAAACCAGCTTTCAATAATATATTGCCGCCTCACCTCACCTACTTACCGGCAAATTTGAGTCGGTTACTTCATCTAGTGGCATTTCTTATTGCTTCTATCTCGTTCCCTTGTGGAAACCAGCTTCAATCATGACCAGTTCTGTTCATCTTTAGAAAAATGATCAATACTGACAAAAACACGCACCATTATATGAGGAATCACAGATCTTCATTATTCGACGTATCCAAGTAATTGTCTTCTACAAATGATTGTTTCGTAAGTAAATTTAGCTTTCATCTCTGAATTTGAAGCTAAAATTATTAAATGTCAAAGAAAGAATCTTTGGAATCCTTTCTCTTTTTTCTCCCCCCCCCCCCCTCGATTCTCTCTCTCATTAGTTCATGAATAATTTACTACCTAAATGAAAGAGATCATGAATAATTTGGGTGTTGTCAAAGATAACAATTGAAAGCCGAACCATACCATACCGGTGACTTTACCACTTAACCTAACTTTAGTTTGCTTGAAAATGTTTCCTAGCTAAGAAACTAACAGAGAATTTGCAATCAAAAAGGCAATCGTTCTTGAGCCTAAACAACCAGATAGCATGGTCAGACGAGGATTTTTAAAGTTCTTCCCGCAGTTAAGTTCGGAATTCGTATTCTGGACTGACAGCTGAAGGTAAAAAGGAAGTCGGAAAAAAAAAAACCGACCATATAGTATTAATTATTTTTCATCTAATAAGTGACTTGATGCTTACATTTCACCAAAATTAGGGACTGTAATAATGATAAATGATTCTTATTGTTTGATTAACAACCAAATTTGGGATTAGAAATATTGGAATTCAATTATGTAGAAGAATCAGTGCCAAAGAGTCAAACACTAAGAATATTTTTTTGGGGGGGGGGGGGCAAGAATAAGAAGCTCCATGTGTCTTAAATTAAAATTTATAGTATGAGCCCATTTCATATCATGCTAGTAAAGATCTGATCTAGGAGAAAATGACTCCTTTGCTCATAGGAAATTTATTGCAATACAAAGACGGGAATATAGAAAATGACTGTTTCAACTGGAAATTAATAGTCGGCAACGGCCATGGTTCATCCATTTGGCCGAAATGGTGGAATTAGCCCCTCATGCACGACATTCCAACAAAGAACCCTTCAATTTTGTTTTCAACCATTATTTATTTGTGGTTTTCTTTGGTACGCATTGCACAATCCAACGCAATAACATGAATGGACTGAATGCCAATAAATTAATGCAACTTGAAAAATTTTCTCCCCAGATAAATTCACAATCATAGTAAAAGAAGAAACTTAATAAGGTTATGTTTGGATAGCAGTTTTTTGACAGAAATTTTTTATATTTTTTCTAAACACATTTTTCAATCATCTTTTTACCCTCATATACATTGATTTGGTCACGACCACTTATTTTAATTTTAGAATAATTTACTTAATTATCTTTACTGAGTTAGTTGGATAAGTGATGTTCAACAAACCAACACCGGTAAATGCTCGAATCTTGGCCTTGGGGACCTAAAAGGTAGCTATCTTATTTTGACCAAAAAAAAAAAAAAGAAGAAGCTATTTTATGTGTATGACATGGAAAAATCACGTGAAATAAGAATTTTGGAATGACAAAGGTAACAAGAATGAGGATATTTTGATCTAGGGAAAAAAAATTTAAAGCCCCACATGATAGAACTCTCAATAGAAAACTTATGAATTTCCTCCAAAATGCGATAAATCAACTTTGATTGAGTATCATTCAAATATCGTATATGATAAACAAGAATCTTCATACATAGGAAGAACAAGGCAAAAAAGTCCACCTATAAAAAAAGTCAGATTGAAAATCATTACGTTTTGATATTAATAGAGTAAAAGATCCCAAGTGGAATGATTGTATTAGTGAAAAACCTTCTCCGATCACCTTTGAATTGTCGAAACTATCCAAGAGCTATGAGTATTTATCAAATTTGTTTCTATATAATCGAACAAGAACTATCCGAGAGTTATTAGTATTTATCAAATTTGTTCCGATCCAAACAAGTTTATCAAATCTGTTCCTATCTAAGAGAATGCTATTGGATCGAATGATAAATGGCCTTGTTTGGATTTCGCTAAAAAAATTACGTCGTTTTCCGTGATCACATTTCCCTATTATCTTTTTCCCTCGTGTACATCAAATCGCTACAGTAATTTTTCCATAGAAAATGACGGAAAAATTATAGTTGGATTCGTGTAATTGGAGAAAAATTTCCTATTCCTTAATAAAAAACGATAGACATAAATATGAAAATCTCTAAAATCAAGAAGATGGGTCATCTTCTAGTTTATTTTGTGTATATCACTTGGTATGTAGGATTTTTCAAAGAAAAAGAGTCACGGTAAGAAAAGCCACTCCAATTCACAACATTTTCAGTAATAAACACAAATATAGAAATCCCTAAAATCAAGGGAATGGGCCATCTTTTAGTTTATTTGTATCACTCAACCGCAACATTTTTTTTTTTTGATGAAACAAAAGTCAATATTATTAATAAATTAGTTGAAAATCGTCTGGCACGATTTGTTTGACAAGGCAATATATACTAATGACAGAAAATACGCAAAACATGTCAGAGATATATCTGATGTGAAAAATCAATTAGATTTAATAAAATTACAAAATATAAAAAAAAATTACATTATGAATCAAACCTACCAAACATCCCTTGTCGCTAAGTAAGTTGACTGTGCTTCAAGCGTAACAAGATTTCAGCCAAATGATTAAAAAGTCAGTACTTTTCCCAACCATTCGTATGCGTTCGACACTCTTATCCCTCCTTTGGTAATTATTTAATGAGCAATCGCAATTATCTTAGATGTGTTAGAAAAAGTCCTAAATGTGAAACGATTTATGAGACATAATTATTGTTCAGATAACAAGTTGCTGCTAAATAAAAATGTTAAAAAAAAAAAAAAAAACTGTAACCAGAATGCTGCTGCATGCTGTGGTCATGGTGACGACAGAGAAGCTGCTTGCTGGTTTTGTACTCAATCTAAGAATTAATTGAAGGTTGAAACCATCAAAGTTAAAACAAACCAACACGAGCAAGATTTTGATTTGACCAAAAGTTTGCACTAATTAAGTGGAGGCTTTTTGCAGGAAAAGTTGACATGTTAGTTTCCAGATTTAAAAAGTTCACCAAAAAATTGCACGAGCTGCTGTGATGATTAGGGAAGAGTGGAGGGTCAGCAGTGGAGATTTTAGAACAAGAAAAGTGAGAATTAGTTCATCAGTAATGAAGAAGACAAACTCATTGTGGGCAGACAATCAAACAAGTAGCCACTCATGTTAACGTAAGCTTACATAAAAGGATCATTAAAAAGAAGAAGTTTTTTTTTCGGTGCTCTCGACCAAAATTACCTTCACTTTTTCCGGATAATTTATCTTATGACTCCAACGAACATGTAGGCTTAAAAAATAAGTAAATGTTTATATACTGACAGTTTGTGTATACAGTATCGCTGTTGAATCTATGACACATGTACAAAAGTTAAATTTTAAATTCAAATTTAATATAGTTCTCGTTCATTCAAAATTGATAACGTATACACTACTGTTATTGTATAAAAAATTAATTCTTAAAACTTTCCGGCATAATGAGCAGGAAAGCTTGAAATTTGTTTCTTCCCAAAAAAAAAATTGAGAGAAAAATACGGACCACAGTCCATCTGCCACCAATTCTCCTGCATTTAGCTGCTGTTTGATTGCGTGCATGTGCTTGCCACTTGCAAGTCAATTATAGTACTAATTAATCACAGGAAAATGGTAAGATATGAATTAATAAAAAGCCTTGACAAATTATTCATATTTCATAATGAATAAAATTATGCCTAATGCATGGAGTGATTAATGGATATTGAAGAAAACAAACAAATTATGCCTAATGCATG